TGCATACTTTTTCAAGTTTTAAATAAAAGTACAAGTAATATTTGCTATTTATAGTAGTCCCTAAATATCCTTCCAGAAATTTTTAAGTATGCTTATTTTAATTACTTTTTAAAAATCCTTAGATTTTGTTTATATTCAGAGAGTCAAATCCAGTTGTCATGGCAAGATTTTTAAAAGTAAATTAACTTAGGGCTAAAAATGTTGCAGCTGACAGCTCACTCTAGTCCAGAGTTTCTTTTTTCTACAGACTCATTAACTGCCTGCATAGACACACAGATTGAAATGGCAAAGTTAAAGTACCTAAATACCTGACCAAGAACAAGAGTGTATTAAGCCACCATGATTTCAATGTGAACAAAGTTCAGTTAGTGTCAGCACCAATTCTTTCAACTTTTTACCTTTCAGAATAGGAATCTAAGGTCCCCTGCTTACTAGCTATCAACCTTCCTTCTGCTGCCACCAAAATGAGGACTGACCCATCCTATAATGTGATAGTGTTTTAATGCCATGAGTATTTTTCAGAAATAAAAAAAAGAACATAAGTTGCTCAAGAATATGTATTTTATATCCAAATTGAAAAAGAACATAGACAGTGTTCTCTTGGCCATTAAAAGAATAAGAATCATAAAACATATTGATAAGCCAAAAATGTTGAAGTTCTTGGTATATCTAAATAAGCATTTTATTTATCAAATTAAGAATTCAAATATCACTATAGTTTCATTGAAATGACTTGAAAAAACTACTTATTCAGTCTTAAATAAATTTTAATTAAGTTAAATTTCTGTAAAGTGAGATATCTTCCTACCCCAGTTAAACAAGCTTTTATCAAAACGACAGGCAATAATGAATACTGATGAGGGTCTAAAGAAAGGAAAATCCTTATACACTACTTATGGAAATACAAATTAGTATAACAACTATGGAGAACAGTATGGAGGTTCCCTAAAAAACTAAAAATAGAACAATCATATGATCTAACAATCCCACTGCTGGGCATATATCCAAAGGAAAGGGTATCAGTATATTGAAAAGATATCTACACTCCCTTGTTTATTGCAGCACTTTTCACAATAGCTAAGGTATGGAATCATATGAAGTGTCTGTCAATGGGAGAATGGATAAAGAAAACATGGTATGTATAAACAATGGAATATTATTCAGCCATAAAAACTAAAATCCTTTCATTGGATTTGCAGCAACATGGATAGAATTGGAAAACATTATATTAAGTGAAATAAGCTAGGCACAAAAAGACAAATATTGCATTGCATGTTCTCATATATGTTGAGTCTGGGAAGGATAGTAGGAAGGCAGGTATAGTAAAGAAGGGGCAGCTAATGGGAACAAAATATAGTTAGGTAGAATGTATAAGATATAGCAGTAAATAGCACAATAGTGTGACTACAGTTAAAAACAATTTATTGTATATTTAAAACTAAAAGAGTAGGTTTGGAATGACCCTAATACAAATAAATGGCAAATACTTGTGGTGATAGATATCCAACTACCCTAATTTGATTATTATGTACTATATGCCTGTATCAAACATAATATGTACCCTATACATATATTATATATCCATAATAATTTTAGAAAGTTAAAAAAGAAATATTTCCCCAAGGACACTTGAGTGCATGCCACTGTGTACATAAAAAAGATAAACTAATATGAAAAAAATTGCTATTAAAATTATAAAACATAACAGGCTCATTTTCTTTATTACCTTGCTATTTTTTTGTTTCCTTGCTAAATAGATACAGTTTATGTATAATATAGATTGCTCCATTCATTAAGAAATTTAAGGGAAATTGCTTATAAAAATTCATTATGCATCTATAAAAGAATCACTGATGAACTCATTCTGTGGGAGGGAATAAGTATTATGATCTCTAACACCTTTGTTAGTTAATATCAAAGCAATATAATATTCCATTTAAGATCATACCTTAATTTATTGCTTGAAAATGGTTAATTTATTCAGTTTAATATACGGATTACTGCAATTGTCATCATTATTTTAAATTACCCAATAATTACAAATTCAATGCATCACATGTCTATCTGCCAAAGGAGGATATAATTATTTAATTTAAAAACAATTGATCTTGATAAGAGTCTAAAATTATATAACAGTTTAAAGCACTGAAAATGGTTAAGATATTATATTAACACTGAGGAATAATTTAGATCAATAACTATAGTTCATATTTTATGTAATAAGTGTCAGATAAAAATTCATACCTTATAATTTGACTGCAATATAACAGTGTGATTTCAGCATGGATTGTTGCCACAAATTCAAAATTATAAAAGCACAGATGATTGCTTTAATAGCACGATGATGGAGATTATGCTTCCAAAAATAGTACACGATTTCAGCTGAGTAACTTGAGCAATAACACCTTAAAAGTGCAACAGTAGAAAAGAAACAGGCAGGAAGCAAATGAAGCCAGAGGGTTTCTACTTGAAGTGACAACGAGAATGAAGTCTCCAAGCAGACAAGGGAGCAGACTAGCAACGGAAGATAAGGAGGAATTAACAAGGCTTTCGTGGTTTCACCTAGAAATAACTGCCAGGTGAAACACTGTTTGAAGAGAAAGATGCACTACCAATTCCTAAAAAGACACCGAGAAAATCCAAGCCTGAAATAGAACAAGGCTTTGTTCAAACAAAAACAAAAACAAAACAGCTCCAAACCCCAAAACAAACAAGCAAAAAAAAAAAAAAATCCCTTTGATTTTAAATTATGGGCTGCCTATATAGTTGATCTTATCTCTATAATGCTATATCACAGAGATTCTGCTTTAACTCCCACACAGTGACACGATCATTTTTACTGGTCTGGAATCTGAGCCACTCTGTGCCCAAAAAAAGGCCGGTGTCCTTCTCTACGCCTTCACATTTTTTACATCCTCCTGCCAGAGAACAGTAAACTATTCAGACACCTTTCCACATGAAGGGTCCAAATAAATCCTGTGCACATTACGGTTCCATTACCTCCTGACAAAAACCTTTCTCCAGCCACTTTCGGGAAACTAAACCTTTCCATCCCAAGTCCTTCCAATGACCAACAGCTCACAAACCTGGCAGAAAGGTAGACACAACTTTTCTAGGGCTTCACTTTCTTAAATTTAATAACTAGTAATAAATATCACAAACTTCCTTATTATTCTGGCACTAGTCAAGTTAGACATTCAAACAAAGTAAACCAATTTGTTTCCCAAGTCCTCAATTTATTTGTATTTTTATGAATTGTGTCATATTTTCCAAGAAATGAATCAGAAGCTAACAGCTCTCTATTACGAACAAGAACGCTGTCCACAGCACTTTGCAAAATGCCGGGATGAGGAGTACAATTTAAATGGAATTTGGTATAATATGTAAAACACAGGACTTGCTGGAGGCTTTTGATTAACTTAAAACTATATTTATTTAAGACAAGGGGCATATTATGACTTAAAATGATATTATACTATTTAGAGAGAATTGCAGTGATTAGAGGGCAGCAGGTCCAAAATATCAAAACTCTATTCCCAATATTTACAACAAGTTTTTAATTGTGGCAGAACACATTCTTTTTCCTCTTGATTCTGTTTTCCAAGATGTAGATCAAAGTTAATATTTATGCATCTCTCAAAAGTGCTAGGGGAGGAAATGTATTTATGTTTTCTAACTGCTTTGAAGTTTAATCTCAAAGCCTTTATTATTTATAAAGGTTTCCCTGCCTTGATGAAATAAAAATATTATTACTGACATCATGCTGCAAACATTAGAAGGCAAAATATAATTTCAAAATTATGTATTAAATTAGTTTGATATGTCAGAATTAATTAAGTATGTCTGAGTCCAGATAATCCAAGTATTTAAGGTTTCAAAAGAAAAACAGTATGTCTTTTCTCAAGATATATAGCAGGGCAAGTTCCCCAGATCAAATGTCAAAGGACAGGTTCTGTAACTACTCTGCAGTTCACTTAGCCTTTGACATTTAGTGTCTTTATTTGAGAAAGCAGAGAGAAAAATGCATCATTGCCCTTCTTACTGTGGAAGGCTGATGTACCATGATCAAACTAAGTAAGAAAAAATAGGTAAATTTTGTGAGTATCAAGGATTCTTTATTTTTCTTTCTTTTTTTAAATTATTCTTTAAGTTCTGGGGTACATGTGCAGATCGTGCAGGTTTTTTTTTTTCCCATTTATTTATTTTATTGCATTTTAGGTTTTGGGGTACAAGTGAAGAACATGCAAAATTGTTGCATAGGAACACACATGGCAGTGTGATTTCCTGCCTTTCAGGTTTGTTACATAGGTATACACGTGCCATGTTGGTTCGCTGCATCCATCACCCTCTCATCTGCATTAGGTATTTCTCCTAATGTTATCCCTCCCTAATCCCCCCAACCCCTGCTATCCCTCCACTAGTCCCCCTCCCCCAACAGGCCCCAGTGTGTGATGTTCCCCTTCCTGTGTCCATGTGTTCTTATTGTTCAACACCCACTTATGAGTGAGAGCATGTGGTGTTTGGTTTTCTGTTCTTGTGTCAGTTTGCTGAGAATGATGGTTTTCAGCTTTATCTGTGTCCCTGCAAAGGACATGAACTTGTTGTTTCTTATGGCTACATAGTATTCCATGGTGTATATGTGCCACATTTTCTTTATCCAGTCTCATCAGCACACAACCCATCTCTGTTTCTCATGGTCACTCTTCTTGTAGTGGCTTCAACTGTACACCTACTTCAACTCTCATTCATATTTTCTTTACTACTTTGAAAATATGTTGCTAAAATCAGGTGGGCAAACTTGACATTGAGCTTTAAATATCTAATGAAATCTTGGAGGAGTGGGGCTAAATTAGGTTATATAATTTCAAAGAAAGTTCATGAGACAAATTACTCCATTTGGTGTAATGGAGTAATGGTTGGTGGAGTTTAGATAAAGTTTTCCAGACTACTTAGTTTGGCTCAAGGACCAAAAAGAATGGAGTGTAAGTGCCATTACTTACTCAATTGTGTTTCTGTCCACTTTTCCTGTCATGTTAATGCCATAGAACTGCTGCATGGCAGCTAGGGCGGACTGCATGGTCTCTGCAGAGCGCAGCACTGACATTCTGGGGTCAGTCGGTGGAAGGTAGCCGTACTTTTGTAACCAAACCTGCAATAACAAGTACAGTTCCTTTTAGATAAATTTTACAATTTAACAATAGTTTTCTGGTAATTAATGTATGTCTATAATAGAGTTTTAAACATTTTCTCCACAAGGGCATACAGTATTTTAAGTGTTTGAATTTTTCTGGTAACATTTATTATATAGGTTAGGTTATTTTAATAAAATTGCAGTGATTGTTATGGATCTTTCAGACACACCTTCTAATGCTAATTTAAGAAAGATTAATCATGTGTTGCAAGCTTATAATATGTAATGTACTATAGCAAATGCTGGATAAAAACTGATTATTCTTATCCTCCAGGACGTCAACCTCCCAAAGTGAACTTTTTCAACAGTATGACTCCATTGGGACATTTATGGTGCAAGGGGAAGTTAATGTGCATATACCACACTAAAAAAGCCATCTTCCTGAAGTTGACTAGTGACTCCAGCTATGCTATGTAGCATCTTTACAGATAAACCATGTTAATCTATCATGACATTTTGGGTATAAATTCCATAAAGCCATTCTATCCAATTGTAGCTAAGGTATCTTTTGATGACTTTACCATGTGAAGAATATTATTTCTTCATTTATTTACAGTGACTCAGTTTAATCTAAATCACATAAGTAACCAAGTTTTTCACCTATAGAAGAAATATAATTATCATCTTAAGTGTGTTTAGCCCTCTCTTTAAGGGTCTCATGATTTTTATCCCCTACCTTCCCTGGTGATGGGGCCTCTGGGAGGACAGAGAAAGAAGTCAGAGTTGAGTTCACATCCTAATTGTGATTAGAGAAAAAATTCAGAGTCATTGAAGGTAAAAGTTTAAAAGTTAATACACACTCAGGGCATTTGGAAAAAAATATGTATCTCCACCAGGGAGCAGATGCTTTCTAGTTTTACAACTCTATGCATCCATTTTATATGCACAATCATATGTTCAGGCTACATCTCATCCTGCTGTCCTTTACCTCAATCTTCTTTCTACAGGGCTCTGAGATTTCCTGGAGTTTAGTGAACTACCTAACAAATTGATAAGGGCCAAGTAATTTTGTCCTGGCATAAAGTAGAAGCCTTGCTATTTAGTGAAAGGTATTTGCCAGTATGTGTTTCCCTCCGAATCTTGGTCTATTTATTACATAAATTATCATCTTATAAAATTGTAGCTTTCCCTAATAATCAATATTCTTCCTTTATGAACTTAAACTTCTAAAACAGGAGATATATTTTCTAAGTGCAATTAATCAGCAAATATAGAAGTTAACTTTCACCAAAAGAAACTAATATTAAATGTATCAAAGTCTTGAAATGTGAAACACAAAGTGGAATTCTTCATGGTATTCCTGAAAGCCGACCACCTCAAAAGTACAGTACCGTAAGCACATCCCCTTGAGAAAAACATTATTCTAAAACTATTTAAGAAATGAGCAATGCATCACTGTCAGGAAGGTGTATTAGTGAAACTTAATCTAGTAAACTCATGTACTATATAATAAAAGCAAGCCAAAACACTTTTCTCATGTAATCTGTAATGAACAGGCTGCCAGGGAAAATATGAATATTCAGTTTCCTAGTTAATAGTGCAGTTTGAGGTAGACTCCATTTTTTTATGAATGAAAGAGGCAAAAACTGTTGTTTAATATAAAAGTCAATACCTATTGTCATGTGATTTATCAAAATTAGAATGTTGCATCTTGATTTTTAATAACATACATACGCCAGTATTCTTAAACTGAATGCTTTTTCCGTAACACTTTGTTTGCATTCATTTCTTACTTGCTGGAGAGCTGACTGGTTGCTAGGTTACTCATGGGTGCTAAGCTACAGGCAATTATGTTTATGAGGACAGCAAAGAAAAAACCATTAACAATAAACTCTATGACTTATGTAAAGATAGAGGAACTATAAAATACATAAATGTTAAGTGCACAATGAACAGAATAAAAAGTACATATTTTATTTATGCATTAGCCTTTCAAACAAATGTTTTAAAATAATATAAAAAATGAATTGTGATTTTTCTTCAAGTTTTCTTTTACACTGTCATTTATCATGAAAGGGAGTTTTTCTCTGAATGACTGAGCAGTGGATCATTATTCTTAATTGTAAAATATTGGGAAAGGTATGAGTGCTATCATTTTATGGTCAAGGTTTGTCTTCTGGCAAATCAAGATTGATTTGTCACCTAGGAAATAAACCTTTCTTCCAAATTACAAACTTTTTTGATAAAAAATTAAATCTATGAAGTAATATTTGAAAATGTATCTTTCCCCTTACTCCTGGTATTCTGCTACTCAAGGTTAATGATTTGGCATGTAGTCTTTGCATCTTTTTCACTGTTCTTAAAAATACATTTTGAGATATAACTATATATGTGAGTATGTACGTGTATTTATAAACATATATACATATATGTCACAGATTATACTATACCCTTCCATCCTCATATGTTTTTATTTGAAATATATTCCTGTTTTCATCACTGTCTTAAAATCCTTTACCTACTGGGTGATTGCAAATGCTAAATTTGTCTCATAAGATTAGTTGTGCCTTAATGTCTTTTCAATGTTCTCAACTGCACATTATGAATAGTTAAGGAATCATCCATTCTTGTGTGCACTTGGATGAATGATATACAATTTGTATGGGTGATGTTAGCATTAACTGAGAATATACAAAGCCTTCAGCATAATTCTTGTTCAGTACGTCATATTATTATTTTATGCTTACTAAGTACCCTGAGTTCTTAAAATTGCTTCTGTTCAACTTAAGATCTGTCCTTGGGATAAGGCAAGTTTAAAAATACTGGTGAGGTTGAACTAGCCATAGCTATAAGGAAATACAAACAACATGGGGTAAAGAATCATAGAGTGCTTGAAAACTCCCCAAATCCAAAAGCAAATAAGGAAGATGTGACACATTTGGCAAATTAATTTTTGTTATGTTTTCTTCATTTTGTGCTCACTGGATTGATAAGTGTCATTGAGAACACTGAAAAAAATATCACGGGAGGAACAAGTTCCTTTAAGGAACTTGACTTTACTATCTGGGACTTACCCCATATCATTATCACTAGAACAACCAGCATCAAATGAAAACAACAAAATCTCACTTTGAATTACATTCCTGTTTTACTAACTCATTCAAACATCTTGCTACCAGGTAGACAGAACCAATCTCCGGCACGTAGTGGCTATTCAGCTAGACGAACAACCAGGACTGTTGTTCTCTGCAGAGCAAGATGATATATCAAGCAATAAAAGGTAAACACTTAAATATTAAATGCTGTGCCAATAGATACTGCCTTTGCTAGACTGTAGTATAAATAAGGACTATCAGGCAAAAATTTCAGCAAAATTCATTAGTTAAAGAATGACTTTGTCACTAATATTTCATGTGCCCATAATGTGCATATCTACATTGACTCAGATATTCACCACATATATTAAGCAGTATCCTGAAAAATGATTATATAAAAAATGAAGATAGTAGAAGTTCTCACAACTAAGAGCAAATCTAAGCAGTCATATTTTAGAATATGTATCCTTATTTATTCCTTAAGGCTAATACTACAACCTAGAAAAATAAAATTCCCTCTAGTCTTTAAGCTGGTAAGTTTGTCACCATCTTAATATAAAGCTAGATACTGTTATTCATTTGCTTAGATGAATCACAAATGCAAGAACAATTTTAAAACTTCCCCACTGACAGGACATAACATACAGAGAAAACATCTTGAAATACTGACTCTGATTAATTGCAGACATCCTTTCCCCCAGCAGAAAGAAGAAAAAAAAAATAAGTGAACAGGTAATTAAACTACTGAATATATCCATTTTAGAAATTACAGAAATAGTTGAAGGGGAATATAAGGAAGGCTGTGTTAGGATTTTACTCAATCTGAAAAATCACTTTGCCAGTCCACAATGCCTACTTGTGACTGAATTCGTTATTTCAGGTTACTTCAAGTATAGTTAATTTCCAGCTAACATGGTATGGCAAATGCAAGTTCCTTGTACCCAGTGATTATATGATCTGAAGTACAGTATTCAAATGAAAAGAAAAGGGCAGAAAAGGGCAAAGGTGATAAATTTATTTTGTAGTATTTATTTAGTAACAATCTCTTCCATTTAGTTGATTATATAAACATTTTTAATATTTTGGGAAACTTTTTTTTTTAATTACTGACTTTACTTCAAATTTTATCATACTAACAAAATATTTAAATCTATGATGTTTAAAATATATCTGATATAATTAACTAACTTTCTCAGATGAAAGTCAACTGAAAGAATGCATTTTTAATAGATAACTTCTCAATGTTATAAAATGTTAATTTCCTTTTTTCACGATGAGACTTATAAATGCATTTGCTAAATTTTGTTATAAAGTAAAATTAACAACTAAAAAGAGTTGACTCCTCTATTCTACGGTATCATCAGCAAAGCCAGTAACAACTTAAGGACATTATATTTACTGCTTATAAAAAGTAATACCATATATTTACTGGTTATAAAAAGTGGCAGGATTTGTGGCCTACATTTTCTGTCAGGAAAATGGCTATAAATATAACTACCTATTAACCAAAAAATTAAACTGATGTTGGAGTAGTCATTTGGAATTCGACAAATTGAAAATTCATAGGATAGGTTAACAGGCAGAAATTAGCCTTTTTCTTCATTCAGAAATCTAAATGGGCTCTAAATCACCATCCCATCCCCAGCATGAATGGATTAGTGTATGAATTGCACAAATAGAATTCAATTCATTTAGAATTTTCTCATCTCTTAAAAGGCTTCTTAAAATGGAAATGAAATAGTGGAACAACCAAAAGCTACTCTACTAAACATCTTATCAATCAAGAGGCAACCGTCCTTTGGATGGGAAGAGAAGAAAACAGCTAACTTACTAAAAGTTGTGATAACCATCATGATCATATTTTGCACCTTACCATGAAATTGATTTTTGATAGAAGCCAATAACCCTGGGTGTCAAGACTGT